ACGAAGTTATACGACCGGCCCCGCCCTCTCCTCGCCGCCGCGGCCCCAGCCCCACCGGGCCCCGGCGCGGCTGCGGGGGCTGCAGGCATCTCGGCCACCGCGGCTCTGGGGCGGGCACTAGGTTCTCTGGTCCCGCGTGCGGAACGCCGGGGCCGACTCCCCAGGGTGGCGCCGCGCGGATTTTGGTTTTGCCCTTCCCGAACCTTTGCAGAGCCTGGGAGACCGGTGGGAGCCAGAAGGGTCGGGGGCTGCACGGGCACCCCTCGGAGGGGGACCTGGGGCTACGCTGCCTTATATTTTTTGCTGAGCACAGCTTTCTTAGAAGTTAGCTCAGGCGAGGCTCACAACCACCTCCTTGTAGACATTAGAGTTCCCATTGTACAGATGCAGAAACTGAGGCTCGGAGACTTCCAGCGGCCTGCCCAAGATCTCTAGTCGGGCAGGGCCGGGACTCCAGAGCCGCGTCCTATCCATGCGCAGCTCTGCCTGCTAATCTGGAGCGCATTCTGAGGTCCGGGACAAACACGCGGTGGGGGTGGAACAGAAAGGCATGAGTTCCTCCCCCTGCGTGTTCTTATTCCCACATTTTGTACCACGATTCATTTTTAAATGCCTTCGCCCCTCCACTCCCTTTATCAGTCTGGTAGATTTTTCCAGGTTGTCACAATGCCGCCCCACCCTAAATAAATCCCTTCTTTCTCACACCCACATACACACACCCCCCGGGATTTTTCGGAGCCTGCCCTTCTGTTATTTATATCCACTGGAGCGGTCCAAGAATGTTCCGAGGCTGACCTAATCGCCACCTGCTCGGCCTCCCCGCCCCTCCTGCTCCCTCCTGGGCTCGGTGACCCAGCGGCCATGCCCTGCGCCCTGGAGACGAGCGGGAGCGCGGACCAGCGGGGTGGGACGGCCCAGCCGTCCCGGCGGCGCAGATTGGCTGGGGGTTGGACAGCCCCCGCGTGCTGGCGGGACTGCGCCCCCGGGGGACGGCGCGGCGCTCTGGGAAGCCAGGGAGCCCCGCCGTTCCCGCTCTAGCACGTACTCTTCCTCCC